CCAGACTATAGAGAACCACCTGGCTAGAGACACCACCTTCTAGATATACTACTGGAGTATAGAGAACCACCGGTCTAGATAGACTACTGGACTTTAGAGAACCACCTGTCTAGAGAAACCGCCTTCTAGATAGACTACTGGACTTTAGAGATCCACCGGTCTAGAGACACCACCTTCTAGATAAACTACTGGAGTATAGAGAACCACCGGTCTAGATAGACTACTGGACTTTAGAGATCCACCGGTCTAGAGACACCACCTTCTAGATAAACTACTGGAGTATAGAGAACCACCGGTCTAGATAGACTACTGGACTTTAGAGAACCACCTGTCTAGAGAAACCACCTTCTAGATAGACTACTGTAGTATAGAGAACCACCGGTCTAGAGACACCACCTTCTAGATAAACTACTGGAGTATAGAGAACCACCGGTCTAGATAGACTACTGGACTTTAGAGAACCACCGGTCTAGAGAAACCACCTTCTAGAGAGACTACTGGAGTATAGAGAACCACCGGTCTAGAGAGACCTCCTTCTAGATAGACTACTGGACTATAGAGAACCGCCGGTCTAGAGACACCCCCTTCTAGATAGACTACTGGAGTATAGAGAACCCCCGGTCTAGAGAAACCACCTTCTAGATAGCCTACTGGACTATAGAGAACCACCGGTCTAGAGAGACCACCTTCTAGATAGACTACTTGACTATAGAGAACCACCGGTCTAGAGAAACCACCTGCTAGATAGACTACTGGAGTATAGAGAACCACCGGTCTAGATAGACTATTGGACTTTAGAGAACCACCTGTCTAGAGAAACCGCCTTCTATATAGACTACTGGACTTTAGAGAACCACCGGTCTAGAGACACCACCTTCTAGATAAACTACTGGAGTATAGAGAACCACCGGTCTAGAGAGACCACCTTCTAGATAGACTACTGGACTATAGAGAACCACCGGTCTAGAGAAACCACCTTCTAGATAGACTACTGGAGTATAGAGAACCACCGGTCTAGAGAAACCACCTTCTAGATAGACTACTGGACTATAGAGACCACCTCCATTAAAGACCAAAATGGCTATCTATCTTGTGACACCACCTTTCTTAAGAACCACCTGTCTTAAAAATTATCTATCATTATAGATCACCTAAAAAGAGACCATGAGTCGTGACCAACAACCTCTCTAGAAAGACAATGGGTTGTTCGAATTTGGGTTCTATCGACTCCCTGATCGGACGTGAAAAGGTTGGGGGTCACCTGCCTGTCCAGATGGGTTTCCTCCATGAGCTATCAAACGGGCCAACAAGACTGATTAATATAGGTTGAAAATACTTGTTTCATAATTGTTGTAAAGTAAAGATTATATATTTATAAAGAAAACCAATCATTTGAGATTCATTTGAGATCACCTGTCTAAGACCAGAGGAATCACCGTCAAGAAAACACTGGTTTTGAGAAATCACTAGTCATTCATGAGGAAACCTATATCTGGAATATCTATTAATTGAGACCACCGATCTTGACGAAACTACTTCTTTAGATACTACCAGACCTGTCTAGAGAGATCACCTTAAATGATTGACTACCTGATGTCCAGAGAGACCTATAGCTACCTGTCAGAAGATGTCACATTTTTTAACTTTTCTTGGTAGGTCAATTTAGGTAGGATATTCACCTTGAAAGATTCAGACCACTTCTCTTGATAGAATGTATGCTAATAATTATTGGCCAGTGGTTATCTTGACATGCCATAAAATATACAATGTACCAAGATTAGAAATAAACTCTGCAAAGAATCTTTTATCTCAAAATCATCTTCAAAGTGGAAGGATAGTTAACTAATTAATTTAAAATTCTTCAAACAAAATAAAAATATAATTTGAAATTAAATTAACAACATAATATGCTCAGAGCTATCTTTTCCCACATGTGCATCTGTGCTTGCCCTGTATCGCAGGGTTGTTCTGCACCATTCAGTCTGCAGGCAGCCATGAGCGACTTGGCCTGGCCATGACTAAGATAGCACAAGAATCAATTCTGCACTCTCTATGACTATCTGTAGTCCCAAGGTCTCAATAAAGTAAAGGATCAGTTAACACAGACCTTGTTATCCCTCAGTTCCTTGAATGAAACCCAAACCTCATTGACAGGATTCTCCCATTGTAAACTGACAGGGTAGTGATTGTCATGCTACATTGTGAAGGGAATACCCTTTCAATGATACCACATCCATCAAATCAATCAATCTCCATATCCTCAGTAAAATTACACAAACACATCTCCAATAATAAGTCAGACATGTGAAAATTAGTCCTTTGATACTGAGAACCAAGGTTACAATTTCTAATGCTAAATAAATAAGAAACTTGATTAAAAGTATTGAAGTAGACTGCGCATTCTACATAAATAAGATTATTATTTAAACGATTTAAACAATTTGGAGACTCAACGACAAAGGTTTCTTGTCAAAATAAAACCCTTGAGAAAGTATATATGCCATTCTAGACCTGGTGCTATGATATTTCTGTGACATCAGATGTTCATGGTAAGGCTGTATCTACTACAAATCAATTTTGTTGGTAGCGACTATATATGTGCCATCCAATACAATTTCTGGAGATCTTTCCTAGGAATCATAATAAGGTTTATGAATAATCTAGTTTTCATCATTTATGCGGATTCAGGTTAATAGAGTTCAAAAAATTACTCAAAATGTTTCCATCACCACAACCAAAGTCTAACAAGACTTTGGTAGATTTGCTGTTGATCACTCCAACTAAATCCAGCAAGACTTCAGCAGACACCTATTTGCATTTTCCAACGTATTTTGAAATCTGGGGGCACCCATATTTTAACTACCGGGTTATTAGATGCAGGCTCTTACTCATCAAACATCATGCAAGGAAAAGTAAACATCAGATCTAGATCTGTAAAGTCTAATAAAATGTTTTTCTCAAACAAAACATTTTAAAAATAAGTTTTACTTGAAAAAAATGCAACATTGAACACATCTAAACAAGGAAATACAGAAATATCCAGACAACTTAAATAACACAAATTAACAAAGCATCATATTACTATTAACTAACTTTATACATGTATCGTGTTGGAAAAGTTACTAAACAATATAAGTGCAAACCAGCTGTATAAAGAGACATTTCAACCCCAGGTGTGTTGACCAATCTCATTTACACTGTTTGTGTATTCCTGTCTGCATAAATAGGCTGGACAATTATGGCTATGTGTTAAGCGAGATCTATCTGGGACAGGTGACACCCACCCACGGACACCTGATATAATCTCATCAGGAGGATCAACACAGCATTAGTTCTACCTGGACGGCTGGCCTCATGAACTGACCATTTCATTATCATCACAGGCCATGATGGATCCAGGATCGACCAGACTGTAACTAGTCACAATTTTCTACCTCCTGTAGATAGTGGCCACCTCACAAACTGACCAACGAATTCAGCTGACTTACTAAAATTCATAGTAAACAGTCTATTGTGAAGACTAGTATGCACAGATTCTACATTTCCTTATGAGCACATTGATTAAACACAGAAGTAAATTAGCTCCACAACCAACTTCTTATCTTCCTTGTCACATGAATCATTGTTTTATGATTCATAAAAGATGTCAGATTTGACCAAAGAACAGGAAGAAATAGTAGCTAGTACAAACATCACCAATTACTGAAGTTAAAACAGTTTCTTTCTACCACGAAAAAAACTAGTGTACATGTGCCATTAAGTCAGTTCCTCATTTGCCTAAATTGTATCCAGCACAATACAAATTACACAACCAGTTCATGCTCAGTTAGATGGAAAATAGATTTTTCTATACTGTAGATAATACTGACAAGAGGCATTAATTGTGACAGTCATAGCAATATAACTTAATCTGCAAAGTTATCAGGAGAATTGGGAAATACATTCGCCTCCAAGAAAACTAATTTTCAACTATTCTCAATTTGATAAAACCCAACTGTTCCTAGCAATTGAATCAAAGACATTAATTATCAACGTTTGTTACACCAGTGTAGACATATCATCGTCAGCAAAACTCTGTACTTCTGAAAACATTAATATTTTCCCCTTGATATTTCGATTCACTAGTGCATTTTACAAAAAAAAAATGTGTTTAATAGCAATTGAAACTATTTAATAATTTCCATATGTCGGTTTGTCCACCAATCCGACAGAAGAGAATACACTTATTCTGCCATTTTATTTTTGCCCATTTAAAAATAAGTCAAAGAAACATCTCAATATCCTTGTAATTACAAGGATATTGAGATGTTTCTATGATTCAAGGATGACACTTTTTCCTTTTATAAGAAGTTCACATGCAACATGTTTTCTCATGACTTTGTTTCATCTCAGGACTGCACAGATTATTATCTTGCCAAAACAGTCAAACCTACTTGAAAGACCATGCACCTCTATTAAGTGACAACCTTTATTAAGATACCACTATTACATTTTGATGATTTCCCCATTGCAGTTATTACATTTTGATGATTTCCCCATTGCAGTTATTACATTTTGATGATTTCCCCATTGCAGTTATTACATTTTGATGATTTCCCCATTGCAGTTATTACATTTTGATGATTTCCCCATTGCAGTTATTACATTTTGATGATTTCCCCATTGCAGTTATTTCAGTGTTAACTGAACGTGTATTAAGTAACCACTTCATGGACTTTCTGGAGGTGGAAAAATGTGAAAAGTTTAGTTGCAGATTGTGGATTCTTTTAACTGTCCCTTAGGATTAACATATCCACCTCAACACTTATTTGCAGTGAAGCATTCTGCATGGGTCAAATATTTCAAGTAACCAGGAACAGGGTGGGTTTCATAATTCCTGTACTAACGTTTAAAGGGCTGAAATTCTGTACCCATGACAGCCCTACAGTTATAGTAAAATACAAAATATTGACGGCAACCCAATAACACAGAAATGGACAAAGAAAGTGTTCAGTACATACCGTGCCATTTTCATACCACAGCATAGCATGGTTCCGGGATAAAACTTTACAATCAAAGATGCCATTATTGGATGCTGGTCGTGCTCGAGCCACCGAGCGGCCAATTTTGGCCGGCTCTATCAAGGATATGTGCCGTTCTTGGAATGGATGTGAGCTTGGTTGGCAGGTCAAAATAGCCACCCCTGCAGCCATGGCTGTTTTTGGTCAATTATCCAACTTATCCTAAAAACACAATGACATAATTATAACATCTACATGTTCATGTGCTCTGTATAATTCTTATAAGTGTGGGCATAGAGTTGTTCAATCCACAGAGAACAAAATCCGTATGGTACAGTCCCAGATAGCACTCCAATGAAGAAACTTCTAATTTTTAATGTGTTTTTCTAACTTAGAGTTGCTTGCCAATTTACTACAGCTAATAGTTTTAAATTTCACAAAAGGAACTTTATTCAAAATTTTGAACTACTACATAATATAAATTTTCCAACTTTTCCAGCATATATATATATAATAATATATATGTCCTGTTTGCTCTGAGTCATTTTGTGTTAGGTTTTGTCACCCTTAACATATTTTTGGGGGCGAAACTTATAAGATTGTTTGGTTGTGGGTGCCTAATCAAATCTGATTTTAAAGTTTTCTTCAGTCTTTTTTGTCACTAGGCATGTTATACTTGTACATAGTTGATCAGATTTGTGCATAACATTCACTTGAAAATTCTTCTTACAACACAATTGTTCCTGAAACATGGAAACAATCAATTGAAATAATTAAAACATTTAAATTCATATTTATAACATAAAAACATTTGTTTATATTTGGGCAAAGCAACCTTGGACAAACTGCGAAATGACCAATATAGGACTTGTAATAGTTCATACAAGATTAAGGATCAAACAATCTGATCTAAAAATTAAAACAATAAAATCCATCGACAGGCGACACTTATTATGAGAAAGAACATAATGTTGTAATCAAGCTACTTCACTAAATTGTGGTAAAGTGTTTATCTGCCTCTGTGTTGGTGTGTGTGTTTGCACTGCGTGTGTATTGCAAGTGTGTGTAATGTGTATTGACTGTAGAGATGGGCTTTTCAAAATGAATTAAAATAACAATTCTATTAAAGTACGGCCATCTTTTTTAAATCATTAATATCTTATAATAGCTGATTATCTGTCAATCAAGCAACCCATTAAACCGAAACTATTCTAAAACCAATGTCTTGGAACCAGGAACTTCCGATGTTTTGATACCCAAAAGCGGCACAAAATAACAATAACAGGTGACCATTTTCAATTAAATGATATGTTTTCTCTGTATGAATAATAAGAATTTAGTCAAGTGCGTTGAAATGTGTAGTCAGGAAACTGAAAAACTGCATTCCCGTTAAGTTGTCTTACCATTCATTTTGCCTCGGCGAACGGGTGCTTCAGGAGACAGCCATATTGAATTTTTCCAACATAATCTCGAAACCAAAATCCCAAAAGTAATACAAAATCATAATCTAAAAGACTGATCTTAATTTTCAAAACTATTAAATCGTATTCTGTTTTTATTTAATATACAATTGTTGAGCTTTCTATTTGATTTTAAATCATATTTTTAACTAATTTGTTGAAAGGTCAAGGCCGGTTTAAAATGGCTGCAATGGAGCAGGGGGTGTCGGAGGGGATGATGAAGGCACTTGGTGATGTCCCTCTGTCGCCCACCCTGTTACCGTGGGACCGATTTTCCAACTGGCTTCATTGTGCGTGTGTTGTCACGTTTGACTTGGAACTAGGGCAGGCGATGGAAGTAAGTATTCGAAAAAGAAACTGATGTCAATCTTCGAAAAAAGATAAAATAATAAAACATTGATGATCCACTGTCACGACTGACAGAGTGGAATCCCATGACATATGTTAAGAAAGACATACATGAACTCCAAATATCAAACAATTCTTCAATCTAGACGTGCGAACGTATCCTTTATTGAAATATTAAGATGAAGTTATATTTGTTTCAATATATTGAACCACTACTGTTTTTCTTTTGTTTACCTGTTTTAATATTGAAAAGATACGCCCTTGTCTCTTTCATTTTAAACGCATTCATTCAGTTTGTGGTTCTTGTTATCACCTCAATATTATTATATCATAAAGGTTCACTTTCAAAAGCAGCACTTCCTAAACATAAATGTTAACGATTTCCACCCAACTACATGTATATTTGGTTGTAATTTGTCCATATGTAGTTAGTCAGAACATCCTCCATAGGGTCTCTTTGAAACTAGCCATTGCAAATCTTTGCTTCACTTATGATAAAAGTTATTTCTAAAACAGGCAAGTTTGTTGACAAGTATTAAGTTTCGATTCTATCTGTCCAAGACACTGCAAAATTTTGTGAGGCGAAAGGTTTTCCAAATAAGTACCTGTGTTGCGGAACTGGACTGGGTTGGTTGTCACCATCCAGGTACTGTCTAGAGTTCAGATCAGAGGGTCCCATGTTTGAATCCTGGTCTGGTAAGCTTAAAAACCCATGCTTCAAGCACTGGGTTGGTGAGCTCGCCAATTTTATAATGCTTGGGAATGGGATACCCAATTCTTGGTTGTTAATAGTTTTGTTTTTTGGGGCAAAGACTTAGAAAAAGGTTGATTGTTGTGGGTTTAACGTCCTATCATCATGTATACATGTAAGTTAATTTAAGGACGTCTTCGTTAAAAGCAGGGAGGTGTAGCAAACTGTACTGGGTTGAATGTCTGCGACCGGGTAATTCAAATTTAAGAGCTAGCGTCCTTCTAGAGTTCGGAGGATCTGGGATTCAGATCCCAGTCAGGCCGTTAAATTTCTCTTTCTCCTGTTACACCTGTACATTTTTGTTTTAGTTGGTTTTAATTCCTACAAAACTCTCTAGATCTTGAGTAAATATATTTATCCAAAACCATTTAAGGAGATAGTATATGCAAATCATTAACTATACATAGAACAACTTAGACTTTCGAATGGTATTTCGACAAAACAAAGATTTTGAAAATATGAGTACATTTTCAACTTGGATGTTGTACAGTTGTACACAATGCATTTTTTCCCAGATCTATAAATTCCCCTGGCCCCATTCCTAAACGAGTCAGTGTCTCAAGGTCTAATTTTCTGTCAGTACATTTGTGTATATGTTGATATATATACCGAAATGTTCAAAATTTCATAATTTCAAATATATATGACAACATTATGTTAAATGCATTTTCATTTGATTAATTGCAGTTAATCTACCCGGGCCATGTCAAACTCACAGATACAGAGGTAGGTTTGAAAATACGATGGACTCGACAAGCTAAAGCCAAAATTAAGACAATGATTGGCTTAGTTTGCTGTTATATCATGTCCTTGCAATTGCCTATCACCTGCAGAATGCTTTTATTTTGATGTTTTCAGAGACAGAATTAGTTAAATTCATTTTATAAAATATAATTAATACTGTTGTAGGAAATAATTGACAAAATGCTCTATGTATGTAGTTACTTGTATAAAGAACAATATACAGACCTTCTTTTGTACTTATTTTGCAGAAAGCCAATATCTGTTACCTGTCTTTTCCGGATTCAAATTCAGGTCAGTGACAAAACGCATATATGTTATATGTTTAATGTAACTTTATAGGCTTGCTACAGACACGACCTGTTTACATCTACGATTTTAGCTTAGTTTCTACGATTATTGAAGTTAAATTACGTTCTACACTTTGGAGAGTAGTTTCTACGCATTCTAATGGTTAATGAAGGTTCCCGATGCGTTCAAAATATTTGGAAACAGTGACAGCCATTTTGATACGAGTAGATGATGCTTAAACGAAAATGCCAACAAGATGTTCCGCCAAGTAATAAAAAGGTGGCGATCCAGCGGTACCGATTATCCTACATGGAAAATCAGAAATGACTGCAGCCCTCCAGGAAGGGCGACACATTCGTGCATTGCACTGTCTGCGGATCAGACTTCTCCTGCAGACATGGTGGTAGTATGGCGCACCCCGCCTCGCCGCTACGCAGCTCACAGCCTGGCGCAGCTAGCATGTGGACACTACACTTTGTTATGTCAAACTACGCTTTAATTCCTCTTTGACAAATAATAGTGTAACAGGTCTGCAGACAGCATATCATATAAGATACACTGTATGAAGAACACTGAAACATTTTCGGACATTGTATAAATTAATCTTGATCATTAAGAAATACATTCTATGCTGATACTAATGGGACATTGTATAAATTAATCTTGATCATTAAGAAATACATTTTATGCTGATACTAATGGGATATTGTATAAATTAATCCTGATCATTGAGAAATACATTTTATGCTGATACTAATGGGACATTGTATAAATTAATCTTGATCATTAAGAAATACATTTTATGTTGATACTAATGGTAGTCGGATTGAGTTAAGTTATGTATGATTCGTAAAGAACTTGGTGCTGAAACCTTATTAATAAATCTTCGAAAAAATATTTAATTTAATTAAGGTTTCTACAGTAGCTTATATCAGTATTACAAAATCAGTATTAGTTTGTAGAAGTCATATGAAAATTCCTTATTTTTAGTTGCCTGTCAAACAATGGAATGCTTTGGTTTCCATGAAACTTTCTATACAATGTATTACATTTAATTAAAGTATTAATTTTCAGCTCAAGTTTGAATTCGATCTAAATCTGAAAATCAACATGACCATCAGTGGCCATATTGGATGTTGGGGCAGGCAACTTCTGTGGAGTTCTTGCCTTATTCATAATATATGGTATTAGTTAAAAGTACAGACTATACATCAACTTTAACAAATTTGAAGTTACCTTATAATACCTACTACAATCTGTTTGTTTCAGGCTGTATGGGAGATACTCAATTCCACTTCCGTATCCGACAGAGTCCCGGACGTAAGACAACATCTAAATGTCAACACCAGTTCAACAAGGACTATCCTGTCTCAATCCAGGTCAGAGGAACTCTTTATTTAATACGTTTAAATTTTGATACTGATTTGTGTTTTCAAAACAGTTATGGAGAATATCCATAAAATACTCTGAGGTCGTATTGCCCCTTGTTATTTTTAAATAAATCATTGTGAAAATGTCAGTTTTTCCAATATTATCTCCATGTTTATGAAGTGCACCATTGAGTAATGATTGTTGATCAAGTACTGGTACCAATTTACGTACAAAAGCAGGACCATTTTTGTTGTGGCATGATTTGTAGAAATTTTCAGAAATGAGTAATACAGCGGCAAAAGGTGCACTGAGTTAAGATATTGTAGACATTGTCGATATCTGTAATGCTATTTGTAGACATTGTCACCATCTGTAATGCTATTTTTAGACATTGTCACCATCTGTGATGCTCTTTGTAGACAGTGTCTCCATCTGTAATGCTATTTTTAGACATTGTCTCCATCTGTAATGCTATTAGTAGACATTGGCACCATCTGTAATGCTATTTTTAGACATTGTCACCATCTGTGATGCTCTTTGTAGACAGTGTCTCCATCTGTAATGCTATTTTTAGACATTGTCTCTATCTGTAATGCTATTTTAAGACATTGCCGCCATCTGTAATGCTATTTTTAGACGTTGTCGCCATCTGTAATGCTATTTGTAGACATTGTCGATATCTGTAATGCTATTTGTAGACATTGTCACCATCTGTAATGCTATTTGTCCACATTGTCGCCATCTGTAATGCTATTTGTAGACATTGTCACCAGCTGTAATGCTATTTGTAGACATTGTCACCATCTGTAATGCTCTTTGTAGACATTGTCTCCATCTGTAATGCTATTTTTAGACGTTGTCTCCATCTGTAATGCTATTTTTAGACATTGTCACCATCTGTGATGCTCTTTGTAGACAGTGTCTCCATCTGTAATGCTATTTTTAGACATTGTCTCTATCTGTAATGCTATTTCAGGACATTGCCGCCATCTGTAATGCTATTTTTAGACGTTGTCGCCATCTGTAATGCTATTTGTAGACATTGTCCCCATCTGTAATGCTATTTTTAGACATTGTCTCCATCTGTAATGCTATTTTTAGACATTGTCTCCATCTGTAATGCTATTAGTAGACATTGGCACCATCTGTAATGCTATTTTTAGACATTGTCACCATCTGTAATGCTATTTTTAGACATTGTCTCTATCTGTAATGCTATTTCAAGACATTGCCGCCATCTGTAATGCTATTTTTAGACATTGTCGCCATCTGTAATGCTATTTTTAGACATTGTCTCCATCTGTAATGCTATTTTTAGACATTGTCTCGATCTGTAATGCTATTTTTAGACATTGTCACCATATTTAATGTTATTTTTGAACATTGTCACTATCTGTAATGCTATTTTTAAACATTGTCGCCATCTGTAATGCTATTTTTAGACATTGTCTCGATCTGTAATGCTATTTTTAGACATTGTCACCATCTGTAATGCTCTTTGTAGACATTGTCTCCATCTGTAATGCTATTTTAGACATTGTCACCATCTGTAATGCTATTTTTAGACATTGTCACCATATGTAATGTTATTTTTGAACATTGTCACTATCTGTAATGCTATTTTTAAACATTGTCGCCATCTGTAATGCTATTTTTAGGCATTGATGCCATCTGTAATGCTATTTGTAGACATTGTCGCCATCTGTAATGCTATTTGTACACATTGTCGCCATCTGTAATGCTATTTGTAGACATTGTCACCATCTGTAATGCTATTTGCAGGCATTGTCGCCATCTGTAATGCTATTTGTAGACATTGTCGCCATCTGTAATGCTATTTGCAGGCATTGTCGCCATCTGTAATGCTATTTGTAGACATTGTAGCCATCTGTAATGCTATTTGTAGACATTGTCACAATCTGTAATGCTATTTGCAGGCATTGTCGCCATCTGTAATGCTATTTGTAGCCATAGTCGCCCTCTGTAATGCTATTTGTAGACATTGTCGCCATCTGTCATGCTATTTTTAGACATTGTCACCATCTGTAATGCTATTTGTAGACATTGTCGCCATCTGTCATGCTATTTTTAGACATTGTCACCATCTGTAATGCTATTTGTACACATTGTCACCATCTGTAATGCCATTTGCAGGCATTGTCGCCATCTGTAATGCTATTTGTAGCCATAGTCGCCCTCTGTAATGCTATTTGTAGACATTGTCGCCATCTGTCATGCTATTTTTAGACATTGTCACCATCTGTAATGCTATTTGTACACATTGCCGCCATCTGTAATGCTATTTGTAGACATTGTCTCCATCTGTAACTCCATCTGTAATGCTATTTTTAGACATTGTCACCATTTGTAATGCTATTTGTAGACATTGTCACCATCTGTAACGCTATTTTTAGACATTGTCGCCATCTGTAATGCTATTTTTAGACATTGTCACCATCTGTAATGCTATTTTTAGACATTGTCACCATCTGTAATGCTATTTGTACACATTGTCACCATCTGTAATGCCATTTGCAGGCATTGTCGCCATCTGTAATGCTATTTGTAGCCATAGTCGCCCTCTGTAATGCTATTTGTAGACATTGTCGCCATCTGTCATGCTATTTTTAGACATTGTCACCATCTGTAATGCTATTTGTACACATTGTCACCATCTGTAATGCTATTCGTAGACATTGTCACCATCTGTAATGCTATTTGTACACATTGTCACCATCTGTAATGCCATTTGCAGGCATTGTCGCCATCTGTAATGCTATTTGTAGCCATAGTCGCCCTCTGTAATGCTATTTGTAGACATTGTCGCCATCTGTGATGCTATTTGTAGACATTGTCGCCATCTGTAATCCTATTTGTAGACATTGTCACCATCTGTAATGCTATTTGTACACATTGTCACCATCTGTAATGCCATTTGCAGGCATTGTCGCCATCTGTAATGCTATTTGTAGCCATAGTCGCCCTCTGTAATGCTATTTGTAGACATTGTCGCCATCTGTCATGCTATTTTTAGACATTGTCACCATCTGTAATGCTATTTGTACACATTGTCACCATCTGTAATGCTATTCGTAGACATTGTCACCATCTGTAATGCTATTTGTACACATTGTCACCATCTGTAATGCTATTCGTAGACATTGTCACCATCTGTAATGCTATTTGTACGCATTGTCGCCATCTGTAATGCTATTTGTAGACATTGTAGCCATCTGTAATGCTATTTGTAGACATTGTCACAATCTGTAATGCTATTTGCAGGCATTGTCGCCATCTGTAATGCTCTTTGTAGACATTGTCACCATCTGTAATGCTATTTTGAGACATTGTCACCATCTGTAATGCTATTTGTAGACATTGTCACCATCTGTAATGCTATTTTTTGTTTTATTACTCAAGAGTGATGGTGCCTATTACTATGGATTTGTGTTCTTTCGACAAACCAAGGACAGGTCCATCCGTAGAGGGTACTTTCAGAAGGTAATCTTTACGAGCACAATTACACATTAGACCACTCATTTTCCTGCTGCCTTCTGATGCTTTCATGTTTACTGAATTAACTAATTGATTTGTAAAGTATGTCATGCCTTATTTTATTAAGTTTTAAATACGAAAAATTTCATATCAAATCCCCGAGTCAAAGATCAAGGTCACAGTTATAAATAAATAAAAGTGTCTTCTTGTGCTTGGAATGATGGCATCCTTGTTTGACAGATAATGTTTAGTTTTAATAGATTTAAAAAAAAAAATCTGTTTTCCTTTCAGTCATTGGTTTTAATATCCAAGCTGCCATTTGTAGCACTGTTCCAGCAACTTGTCAGTATCATAGCACCAGAATACTTTGAAAATGGTGAACCAAGTCTCGAAGCAGGTGGGTTTTATTATCTTTCCATATCCATACTACTACATGATTACTGTAAAAAATATATCTCAGGTTCCCAAACAAACAAACATTCATTTCCATGATATAAAGGCCTGGGAGGACTGTTTTAAGTTTCTGTATAATTGCATTCAGAACCTTGGCTGCAGGATTAACAAAGTCAATATAAATAAGAGTTTCGTCACAGTTTAATGTGTAAAGACATTTGTAAATCTTAGTGCATGTGCTTAGAATCTTCATTTTCTTACTGAGGATGCTAAGGACCTTACATTTTATCAGATACCTGGATTGGAGTAGATAACAACTTACATTGAACAACTGGCAGATAGATCTAGCCTCATAACCATCATTCAGAATCTTAGACATCGGTTTCTATTTAAAGCAATCAAGATAATCTTCCTCATGGATATACGTTCTAATTTCATGAAATAAAAAAAATAAACATATATATGAAGGTACCTATATATTTCATTATAGCTTTGGGAAAAGTCCAAATTGATAGTTCATGATCTGGAACCTGGAAATTTTGTTCTGCAAGGTGAAATGAGATATTTGCCAAAATAATTTCTGTGTATTATTTATGTTTGGTGACCTTTGACCCCTACAGCATGTCATGATATGGACCAGTGGCCTGATCCGGTACCTGGTGAAACGGTCAATCTGCCCATATTTGGTAGTGTTCTACAGGTAAGTGATGAAGATGTCCCTATATAATTTCCTTCCTACATTACACAGCATATATCCTATATAATTGTTACTCATATATTACAAAATTTGTCTTGTGTTGGCTTGCTTTGCTTTTTCCTATCAACAATATGTGTGCACATAGGACCATTTACAAAACAATTTGATCGAATACACCTATAGATATTAACAAAATATCATGTTGGTGAAGGTGAAGGCTATAAATGATGTACTAAATTCATATTTCTTTTATTTCCTGGTTTTGCTTTTCAGATATCCATAGAGGTAATATTGTTACTCATGTCTGTCAAATCTTCTCGACCTTTTTTAAACTTATACCATCACTTGTTTAAAAGTCTTTTACTAAGAACTGATTTTATCATCAGTAATGGTTGAATTAGTAGAGACATCATTGGGATCACCAAGTTGAAGGTCACCAGGCCAATTCACCTAGCAACCAACATACCGGTACATTAAGTTACGCAGCCTAGATTTTATAGTGTTGATGCAGTTTGGCTGTTTCTAGGTCATTGCTGTTGCGTGATAAAAAAGGGTCTTCGAAAAATCACAGAATCAGCATTATCACCAGACAAAAGCATACTTTATGATACAAAATAATTATAATGATACAGTAGACTGCATTAAATGTCTGGTTCAGTTATGGTAGCATGTATGAATATTTTATTTGGCTCTATAGGGGCACCTTTTTTCTTTTCTTTTTCATGTTTTCAGATTGAACTTTGTTGTTTCAATATTTTATTAAGTAGGTTTTCCTTTAAGTTTATTGGATCCAAAGAAAGAATACCTCTGTATGTTTTTATTTAGCAGTCCGATATTCTTGGTGATTCCGATATGTCATATATAACTCTCACACAGATGTTATTATCCCCGTTTCGGTAATTTGGGTTTGTCTGTCTGTCTGTCATGCTTCGTTTCCGTGCAATAACAGCAACAAATGTTAAACGATTTTCTTCAAACTTGGTACGAGGGTTAAATGCTTTAAGGGAGGGACCAAGTTCGATGACCACTCTCAGCAGACTTTATTTGGCGGAGTTATGGCCCCTTGAATAACGAAAATTCAAGCTATACATTATGTCTCACGATACTCACATATTTAAACCTAACCTCAATAATGTTTATCTACAATATGTCCTGCAAGCAGGGGATATAACTTCCACGAATTTGCTTGTTATAATCAGTATAGATCAAATCCATAGCAATGTTAATTACGTTGAATCGGCAGAAATTTGTGTGTTATAAAAATCATAACACATAGCTTAACTAAATACAGATAATCTTATTCTGAGTCTACTACAGACACTAATGTGTAAAGAAATTCTAACAACAAGCTTAATTTCAATACTGACAAATCTGCTCCAAAATCTCTTAACACAGAGCTTTATTTTAATAGTCAAATTTGCTTCAGAGTCTTTGGAAATTACATGTACCTGTAACCGAAATTCTCATACAAAATGACTACCTGAAAAATTCTGATTCTCCAGTAGTTTTTGTAAATATTATATGGGCCAGCAAGGGAGTTAATTTGTTTATATAGAATACCAAAGTCCAAAAGGATTCCTGTCTCATAATTTAGAGAAAAAATAAAGAGAGAAAAAATTACAGAATTCATGATAAAAACGAACAAATTTGCCTTTGAAATTTCTAGTATCATGTAGAGGGGAAACAAGGAATTCATTTTAATTTATGCTATATGCAGTCAGAGGTAGGACATTCCAAATTATCCTAGAATATTCCTGTTTAGGTATTTTCTAGTATATGCTGAGTGGAGAAAAATATCATACTTTAAAAATAGATTCAGTTATAATTAAATAACCTGTTTCTCATAGTGAAAATCTCTTGATGAAATCCAATTCTAATATAGGTCATTCACTTTTCCCATGGATTGACTTCATTTTGTTTTTTCGATATTTATTATTTCATTTCAATATTCTCATTTTGCTGTTGTCTTGTATTGTTTGATTTTTGTTTAGTTTTTATGTTGTGTGTCATTTTAATCCCGTTTTGAATTTGTTTTCATTTACCTTTTTTCTTTCCATGGCTTGCAGTCTCGAGTTCCATCACGTTCAGATAAAGTATTAGGCCGAGGTCAAAACATACGTGTTGGGGCGGTGAGTGTGCCACTGTGATGTCTGATGGTGTTATGTCGGGGTGGGCGTGTCACTTTATAAAGGGGTCATCACACGACCCTTTATCAGTAATTAGGGGCCAACACACGACCTTTTCGACACATAAATATTTCTGTCCGTGTTGCATCTTGTGAATCATGATTGATATTAATATCTGTAGGTTCAGCTGTGAGACTTAATGATGAAAAAATGTACTGTGAGCTTTCCAAAACAAGGGGGGGGGGAACAGTCTGATTTGTTTCCCTTCATTCATCTTTGTATTACATTCAGTTGTTACAGCTGTAAAAAAATCAGTAGCCATAATTGTACATGTCAGCCCAATTATCTTGGTTCACCATTATTCACATGAGAAATGAAACAAGCTATTTTGATTCAAAAACACACAAAAAAAGCTATTAAGATTTTAGCAGTTGTAAAAAAATGAAGGAAACTTCTGCATGTTGATTATATGGAAAACAGAAAAAAGGGACATAAGAAAATAGTATTATTCAGTTAACATATTTGCCAGATTATTAGCCACACCCATCTTGAGAGACAACTACCTGTCTGTAGGTACGACCTGTCTATAACTACTACTGATATGAATTCAAAAGGCAGGTTTGGCTATATCAAAACACTGTTTTGAATCTCATGCTGTTGATGATAGTTAACTTTGAAATTGCTTAGATTGGGGATTTATCTTAGATTATTTTAATAAATTCATTTTAATAAATTCTGAACACCTGCTTATATCAATCTTGCAAATTTATACATTGATGCATCAAAGAGTTTGCCTGTCTGCAGTTTTGATTGGAAGGTATTGTAATGATCAATAGCCATTAACATACATTCAATTAACAGTAAATATTCTCAGACTGCAGGCGTGTATGATAGAGTGATTTACATAACTTCAGTAATAGCCTTAGTGACGTATCCTTAAAGCCAGCAAATGAAAGTGGTTGTATAAACTACATTGAATTCCTCTCCTCAAGATAATATATTTTGATGTACATAAACTAAGCACAGATTGGCATAGTTTAAAATAGATTAATGGTGAAATGGCCAGCAGCATCTGTTACTATAGACTTGCTAATCACCCGGTATTGTTGAATACTTTCACCATACTTTGCATGACATTAATGGTAATTTATTTTGTGTACATGCGATTGAAAATGTATCACTTCTAAATTCTAATATCGTCAATCTAAAGTTTACACCACAAGAAGTCTGTCATACTCACTGCGGTCTTACTTTAACGTTTACCCTCTCTGAAGTTTTAATCGTCTAAGTTTCCTAAACAAAAATGTGTCACCCTAACAGCCATACCTGTGCCTTGCTTTGTGTTGTATATTGTCTTTATTATAAAATTATTATAATCTTCAACTTACATTGACTCGGACCAGTCTAATGAAGCATGTATTTCTCATTAGCTTTAATACCTTAGGCATCAAGTGGGTCCCATGTCCCTGACTGTGACATAAATACTTCTTTTTACGTCATAATTTTAACATCAAAGATTACAAACCAATTTCCTGAAAACAGTTGTTCCTGTTTTTGTCTCGCTGCCATGAAGTGGAAGCGAGACTTAGATGTTGCTTTTCCGGCGACAGCAGTGTCAACATAAAGTGTTTGCGTTTAAGTTAGTTTCTCTGAAAGTATAAGTGCTACACCAACCAAACTTGAACCATAGATGCATCTTAAGCTGTACATCTCAACCCATGCATCAAATGCTGGATGCAGCTTTCATTTTTATGGTCCACTGATTTTGTCAGCATCTCAATCAATATTAAGTTTTTGCATTTAAGTTAGTCTCTCTGTTATGTGCATTGATCATGATGGTCAAAGTGGGGCATAGGCGAGACATATCAATCTGACTGGCTTGTTGAATTATGTATAGCTATGTGTAAATAAATGCTACAAAGGTGAATGGAAACCACTAAGTAAACAGTTTTCATCTCATTGCCAGTGAAACAGTTCTGAACAGGAATACAGGTTTATACTATTCGTTTAACACAGGGATTGAAACAAATAATTTGTATCCTTAAAAACCTCTTAAATTGTGTCACTGGTTAAGTGGTCATGCATGCTGGGATTGTTTTCAGGAAATTAAATATTATTTTAATACACAATTGTTTCTAATAGGTCTTTTCAGTGCGTAAAAAAACCCCATTGTACTGCTTTGTACTGTGACCGACGAAAAAGTACAATCTTAATGGAAATGTAGATTTCAGGATTCATACTAGCATCACATGTTTTCTTATGATATATTAAATGGTTGAACAATCATATTTAAACAACAAAATATAATGGCCACATCGTCTTTCTGTCACAAAATTAACAAGTGGAAAAGGTGTTTGTAGGCGTAGTGCTAACAGGATGATGCATATTATTGAATTCCAAGTTGCATATATATATAGGTTGAGAGCAATGACTAAAATTATCATATGATTCATACCTTGAAATCTAGTGTTTGATCTTTATCTTAAATAACATCCATGAAGTTTAAATTAAAGTGTTTTTTTCTTTTCCTTATTTTGAACTACCCTGGTAATTTGTAAAAAAAAGATGCAAAAATATTTCATTTCAAATGAGTTATTTGTTTTGAAAGTAAATAATAAGTACGACATGCTGTATTGCAAATTAGTTTTTAATTATGTATTTATGTTTGACCCCCACCTGCATGATTTGTACTTTTTTCTCTTCACTACTTTATTAAATCATCTTTCAGTTCTCTTTCCTTGCAAGTCTGTTTTGTTCAGTTTTTCAGTATTCTTTATTCATACATTAATAAGAGTATGCATGAGTATGTTCGCTTATTCTGTAAAACTAGAAATTCCGACCTCCATTTATCTTCGCTCTATAATGAGAGGGTGATCTTAATAACGGAGGGAAAATGTTGTAAAGTTAGTAGTACCGGTAGATGTATACGGGTGAATGTAACATAAACTGAATTTGCTTATAAATACAAGAGGGCAGAAATTTGCATACAGAGTGAATTTTTTATTGTTTGATAATATCGTATGTCATTTGGCTCTTTTTCCCATTTTCCCATCACATTGTGTCTTTCATAATTACCCAATTTCATGGTTGAATTTCAAAACGATGACTTAATCGTCACGTACTAGTGTAAAAAATAACTGATTATATTTTTATTTCATACTCTTTTATATGTTTTCATGTTGTATCATGCTTTATTTTATGATTGGAACTATTAAATATTTGTATAGTTTTTACTTGAATAATTTTGATAAACATCTTTGAAACCAGTCAGTAGACCCTTTCACTTAAACAGCTGTGGTACTGTGACACTGATGGGTAAAATGTGCCTGTCAGCATGTTTGAAATCATAAGTGACGTGAATATCTTGCGGTGGCTTTTATGCCCCTCAAAATGGCAGTCCCATCATGACATGGCTAAAGTGAAGAGGTCTGTGTTCTGTAGGTACTTTTTTCTTAGAAAAAACAACTTGATTGACTAATGTCAACTGGACTCTGAGTCAACCTGATATGAAAGAACTACTGACAGGGTACAGTGGAAAAATTGAAAATGCCTAAGTTATCATTGTTTTTTCCAGCCCACAGTGCCAGCCCATTCCATTCTGCCCTCCCTTTATGAAGTGGACATCTACAGGTAAACTTCTCTAGTTCTACACCACCTTAATTGTGTGGAAAGGATGTAAGATACCTGAAAACATTTGTAATCATGTGACAAAAACATTCAAAAAAAGGCCAAGGAGGGGAGTAGGCATATTCTTCTCATATGTCATCTTTATCAAAGGCAAAAAGGCAGAAAAGTACCAAGTACAAAAATGCTAATTTTGGATTTCCTGCTTGAAATAAAACCATACTTGTGTTCCTACATTGAAAGACATATAGTCTATATAGTAAATGTAAAAACTTGTTTTACACTTTCATTACTTTTACATTATTACCTTAGTATGTGACTAGTAAATGTTAAAAACCCAGCCCCCCCCCCCCCCCCCCAAAAAAAAATATGTTGTGCCCTACTAACTAATGATATGATGTGTTTATTTTTGTTGTAGTGCATTTCTACCCATTCTACCTCACATTCAGATGTTATGGGAATTAGTCCTGGCAGGGGAGGTAAGTCTGTTTACCCTAGGTTATACCGTAACATGTATTGCTCTGACTGTCATTGTCTGTCATCCAACAATATTTGCATTTAATCACATTTTCCAAACTAGTGAACAGGTTTCAAAAACAGATGGTAGATCATAAGGATATAAAGGTTACCAAATTAAGGGGCTTGTCTTCTGAGGGCTGAGGGATCGGGTCAAGAGGGACCAAATTGGCTTATTTTCTTTAAATGACATCTCTTCCACACCTACTGTTTAGGTAACATCCAAAAGTGTGTTGGTAGCATTCTCAGCCCATGAGGATCAACAGCTATGCATGCATGTGCAGATAGACTGAGGGGCGGGTCAAAAGGGGTCAATTTGGTTGATTAGCTTCAAACAACGTCTCCTCTCAAACTAAACAACATATTTCAACCAAATTTTTATGCTAGTATAAGCAGTACATGGGGATAACGTTCAACAAAAATAGATGCTGACCTTCCTAGGTCCTGAGGGCAGGTGAACAGGGATCAGTTTGGCTGGAATGAGCCACTGAGTTTGTGAATAAGAAAATGATGAACAATAAATAGCTGGTATAATTGAAATTCTAAATTGAAACAATTGTTTTGAAAAATTGATAAAAAATTATACACAGATAAATTCCACATAGATTTCAGTGTCAGACTTTATAGTAGTTTAACATTACTGGTATCTTGCTTATCTTTTTAGCCATTGGTTGTCATGGCACCCTCTCCATCAATAACATCATCAACAGTGCAGGCGCTGATCAGGTAATGAAACAAAGATATCAGAGATTTTACTCATTTATGCAGAAAGTGATACATATACATGATGTACATATAGATTCTTGGATTAAAATTTCCAGTCTCACAAGATTTCTGTTTTGAATTCGTTCTTAAAATAATATGCTTATGACCACATTGATCATGTTAGAAAAAGTCACAATAACCTTAGATATAAAATGTAGCAGAAAATACCAGATGCTAGCCTTCCAGGAAAAATAATTGGTTCTATTTCAAATGAATTTTCAGCTCTAGGTTATGATACATGTCAAAAAAAGAAGTGAGACTAGAAGAGAAACTTATTCGGTGTGTATATACAGGAAAATCAATTTTGACAATAATGGCATCCTCTGACATTTTGTTTGTGTTTTATTCAAGTCTAATTGGTCCATTGAAATTTTATGGTGACTACCGCCCATACTTCACAATCCATGACAGCGAGTTTAAGGAGTACACCACAAAAACACAGGCACCGTAAGTAGCAGACGTAACCATCGCTGTCTCATTGTGCTTAGGACAGTGAGAACATTTGGATACATATGTATTATCAGACCTAAATAGTTTACTTTTTATGTCAAATAAATATGTTCTTGGAATTTTAGCTGCGTAAAGTCATCTCAAGCAAATTTTGTATACTTATCAGATCTTCTACTGTATTTTGCTGTCAATTTGAACAAATTTTGAAATATATTTAAGAAATGCTTTGTGGATAGTGTTTTTGATCATCTCCTGAAAAGTGAAAGGAACAAAGTCTTATGATATCATGTGATAACTTCTTCTGCTTCCTTTGTGACAGACCTCCAGTCATTCTTGGTGTCACAAATCCATTTTTTGCCAAAACTCTCCAGCACTGGCCCAATATTATTCGGATCGGGGAGATGACTCACGGTGAGTTTCTGATCGGGAAATTCATTTAGAGATTTCTACTGTTTCATGTGCTATACACTTAGACATAAATCAAATTTGCAATTTCTTTCTCAGTTTACATATTTTATTTATTAATTTCATACACATATTTATTTTTATTAGTTGTAAATTCATTTTCAAATGAAAACCATATTCAACTGTGTTCTTCTGGGATGACTTAGTATGTGGACAGTGTTGTTGCGTTTTTCCAGAAACACTTGAATCTGTAAATTTTTATAGAAGTTTTTCTGTCAGTCATAGAAAAGAAATCTGGGTTTGTTAATATTGATATTTAGCGCAATAGATCAGTTTAAACAAAGTCCCCGTCCTTAAATGACCACAGCTGTTGATAGGACATCAAACAATACTAAACCAATTAAATAAAGTCCCCGTCCTTAAATGACCATAGCTGTTGATAAGACATCAAACAATACTAAACCAATTAAACAAAGTCCCCGTCCCTAAATGACCATAGCTGTTGATAGGACATCAAACAATACTAAACCAATTAAACAAAGTCCCCGTCCTTAAATCACCATAGCTGTTGATAGGACATCAAACAATACTAAACCAATTAAACAAAGTGACCATCCTTAAATGACCACAGCTGTTGATAAGACATCAAACAATACTAAACCAATTAAACAAAGTCCCAATCCTTAAATGACCATTGCTGTTGATAGGACATCAAACAATACTAAACCAATTAAACAAAGTGACCATCCTTAAATGACCATAGCTGTTGATAGGACATCAAACAATACTAAACCATTTAAACAAAGTCTGAATATGTTTGTATACATGACAAATACTTTTATCGTTTTAGGATCTTCCAAAATTTTCAACAAGTTAAAAAAGGCCAGTAGCCTAAAAACACTGGATTCTAAACCAGGTAAGAACCTCTAACACTTAATGACGATATGTGTATTTCTGAAATAGGTATTCATGTGTTATGTGAATTCACAATCAACTTGTGACATTAATTATTTTGTGATTCTTATGAAATAGTAGTGATTTGCAGTATAAAGCTATATATATAAAGTATATATGAATGATATATCACTTTGGTTTTGCAGGCGTGTACACGAGATACAAAGCTTTCCTCACCAAAGACAAAATCATCCTGAAGAGACTTATTAAGGTTGGTATCTGATAGCTGGTTTTACAGTCATATTTACTTTGTCTTCATCTTCATTTTCATCTTTTGAACTTTCTCTGTCAATACCGACGATTACGGAAGTTGGTCTTGTGCTGTAGTGCGTTAATTATTTTTATTTTTTTAATTTTTGTTATTTGCTATAGGATAAAAACAGGTTAAAAGCAGTGAGTGAGTGTTAGTTATGTTGTAGGTTTTGTATATGTTCGATTATGTTGTATATGGTGCATGTCCTGAATTCTGCTAGTGTTTATGATTGGATTATTGTTTTGGGTAGGAGGTTCCACTGTGTTATGGTGTATGGAAAGAATGAGTGTCTGTATGTGTCTTTGGATGTGTCTGTAACTACGGTCGTGTCCTTGACGTGTTCTGGTGTCGGCCGGGATGAGATTGTTAGTGTGTATTGCTACTTGTTGGTGTATTAGTTTGTAGAGAAGAATAATGCGTGTTCTTGTTCTGCAAGTTGTGTATCATATCTGTGACTGAGCTTGTGTTATGGTATGTGTGTAGGACGTATCGTGCTGCTCTTCGTTGCACTTTTTTCTAATTGATTTATGTCAATTGTCAGATCAACATATCTCTATATATCTGTGACTATCGCTATATATTATGTGTGTTTGGGATGAGGGGTGTTCTCAAATTGATGGTGGCGTGTGTGTATATATATAAATTATGTGTGTTTTTGGTATCAGGGGTGTTCTCAAATTGATGGTGGCGTGTGTTTATATATTATTTGTACTTTAATTATGTGTGTTTTTGGTATCAGGGGTGTTCTCAAATTGATGGTGGCGTGTGTGTGTTTGTGTATATATATATATATATTGTGTGTTTGGGGTGTTCTAAAATTGATGGTGGCGTGTGTGTATATATATATATTATGTGTGTTTGGGGATGAAAGTACAAAGAAAGTCCAGGCTTTGAGTATGTGGAGACATTGCATTGACAGTGTTGAGTGCAGAAAAGTCTGCTTTTTGTTTATTCAGATCTAGGAAGTTATCATTCTACATTGTTATGTTATAAAATTGTTGATAAATTTGTCATCATTACATTATCAGGGTATCCAGAGTAAGCGACCCCCGGAGGCCCAGAATGCAATATTACGACGTCACTTCCTCGAACTCACACACAGCTTCATGATACCTCTGGTGAATACATCTAACACAATCTGCATACACTCAACATTTAGACACAATGTAGGAAAGTTTTCTGAGGACAAAAATTTGACACTCAAACTTTGATAAGTATTACAGTGAAAGTGGTTCAACATTTATAAAATTCATAAATTGGAGCCCTATTGTTTTAAAAGTCTCGTATACAAATGAAAATACTTGAGGTAAATCAATTGTGACCTCCTTTTGATGTAGGACTAATAATAAATATAAATTTTAACATACTTTGCAGGAGAGATACATGGCCAGTTTGATGCCTCTTCAACGCAACATATCACCTCACAAAGTAAGTCAGCCCAAGTGACTAAGTTAGATGTGTTGGATCTTCAAGTTTGATGGGAAAAACAAGAAAGATTGTATAAGCTGTGAATGATTTATCTCTTTGTGTTCACATTACCCAAACTGTCCAAACTGGGCTTATGTCAGGTAAAACACAGGCTCATTTCCAGCAATAAGCCTGGGCCCACTTGTATAAAACATCTCAACTCTTGAGATTTCCTCAAGTCTAAGATTTCGCATAGACAATACATTGATTGAGATTTTCTTTAACTTTGAGATGTTTTATACAAGTGGGCCCTGCCCCCTACTATTGACATGTATCTTACGCACAGGGCCCCTAGGCTTATCACCTATAAAATATGTCCGATTTTGAAATCTGTCTTTTTAAATAAAATGTCATGGAACCTTGTTAAAGGTTGTGTTGAATCTCGAGTTTTTAACAAAATTTGAATAAACTTGATAAGGTTTGTTAAACAGAAAAGTTTTCGGAGAGGTAAAGTACAAGTAGTGTTTTCGGTAATATTACACAGGGACCTCCCAGACTGCGTCCATTTGATCCAGAGGAGTTCTTACGATCCCTCGAACACTCGGGTCCCCAGCTGACATCAGGGGTGAAAGGTGACTGGGAAGGGCTGTACCGTAAATTCTTCAAGAGCCAGAACTTTGAGGGCTGGTACTACCACCGCCAGTATGAGGTCAACCAGAAACTCCAGGTACTCCATATGGAGGCACTGTGTGACTCGGTGAGTAACTTAATATTATCATATAATACTCCACTGTGTGACTCAGTGAGTAACTCAATATTATATACCTTACTACTCCACATGGAGGCACCGTGTGACTCGATGAGTAACTCAATGTTATCATACAGTATTTGATTACGTCTGTCGCAGACTGAGGATCTCGATGATCATTGAGCCTATGAAAAGTCATTTGGAAGATAAAGTGTTCAGTTGACTCTTTATGAGTGGATATATATATAAGGTAGGGCTTTATAGATGATAAACAGTTTGTCACACAATGTCTACAGGGTTTGTCATGAGAACAATTTTCTCATAGTTCGCAGATCAATAAAATCTCAAGTCCACCTGCAGTGGCCTCTCGTTTTATCCACGTGCTCACGATGAGAAAACTGTTCTCACAACAAACCCCAGTTGATAATAAATGTTTCATTAACATACCAGTATTAAGTGCTGTAGCTCTCAAACATTAACAGAAAATGTCTGTTCCCATCTTGCGGCTGTAACAATGAAAAATGTATCCTCTGGTTCTCTGGCAACAATGTTTCTATAACTGCATCTTTAGCAGCTAATCTTGAAAACCATCTTCCTTTAAAATGTGTAAACCTGAGATGTAAATATCCTATTTTGACTGTGGATAATGGTGATGTGTTGTTTATAGGACCTGGTGGCCTGGATTCAGGACAAGGAGGAGGTGGAGATCGTCGACCTCATCCTCCGTATACGGGAGAAATTGGTCAGTATATCCAGCGTAATCATAATTTACTGTTACCAAAGGGAGACAATTGACTAAGTCTGTACTTAATTATAACGTAGTAATAATAATTAAAGTTTCAAGGTTTTTGTTAACCGCTTTTTCACAACCTAGTTCGTTGGTCGTCTCAAAGCAGTTCACAAATTATTATCTGTGGTTATAGGGCCTTTGCAACCAGCTAGTATCTTTATCAAGTCCCTGGGGAGCATACAGCTGGTGCTGCCATTTCGGTCGCTTACAGCTAGCATTCAACAATTCTAGCACTGCCCAGCCACATAATCATTTACAGCTGAGTAGACTGGAACAAGCGGAATGAAGTATCTTGCTCAAAGATACAACACAGTGCCGCGCTGTGACTCGAACCCGCAACCCTTTGGTCAAGAGCCCGGCGTCCTACCACTTGACTGAGCTTTCCCCCTTTTTTCACTCATTAATTAGTGCAAATTTATATTGAAGTGTAAAGGGTTTAAATTAATTTGGATGAGTACAGAGTTAATTGGTGAAGGGCAGATATTTGACAACGTAAAACACATTTATTGAGTATGCATCAAACAGTAAGTGTAAGAGGCACAAGATGATAACATATTGCTTTCAAGTTAAACATGAACCGTGCTTCTATTTAATACTTGTGTATATAAATGATCAAGCTCAATGTATTACATGTATATCCTTTTTTCAGGCATTCGCTGCAAGTAACCAGATAGCTGTGAGTGATGAGAGCTTGCAGAAACTTAACAAACACATGGACAATATCATCTCCTCGTTACCTGAAGATCTACAGACAGTTCTGAAGAGTTGACACCGGACTTCCGCATAGTTACCGTAGTGACAATCTCTACAGGATTGGCCTTGGCCATCTTGGAGCTACATCGAGGGGGATCAAGGTCTGAAGTACAGGTCAGACTTTGGTTTGTTCTCGTATATCAGCGGTGCTGATTACAGTCAACACAAGGGGCAGCTGTCGAAGTCTATCTGGCAGCTTAGGTCATAACGCCCACCATCTGAGGAGTAACGTTCAAGGTGATTACATCACCCAAGGTCGTGACACATATAGGTCAAGGTCACAGGCACCACAGGAAAATCCAAATGAGGCAACGTTTGCTTTGTGATTAAAGATCAAGGAAGTTGTCATGGCAGTCAAGTTCATGACCTTTTGACCTCTAACTCCTGGATGGGATGGCAAATCCCCATCAGTGATACAGTATTGTATACAGTGTCCGACTCGTTTCTAGTCCCGTCCTGTGTAATACTAGTGCATGGCTATGTGTCACCATGACAACCAGGTCATTCAGGAACATTATGTTCACAATTATGAAATAGAAATGTTTCTTATTTTTGAAAAATAATTTTGATTTTGTTTTTAAATATTAAACATTCCATCTAAAGGAATTGTTTTAAAATTAAATCTTGGATAAGATTTTTTCATGAATTATACATTTTTAAATCACACATGTAATTGTAATTCAGATATTTCTTTTTTTTTAATATAAAATTCAAAAATGTTAGGCCAAAAAAAAGTAATTACTTGGTTCTCAGGCCAATTTTTTTCAAAAGAGATGTGACAGGGAGGTATTTTTTTTTCTCCATTTTATATGGCAAAAATGAGATGAGGGCGATGATTTTTTTATTGTGTAGTTTGTAAAACGTTCATTGTGGGCATTACCTTGTCTTTTTATAGTTGTGTAGAGACCTGTCATAGTGCAAGCCTCCGAAAATCCCCCCCCCCCCCACGATGTTCCAGACGAGAATCACGAACCCCCCATTCCTTATTTGTACCGAAATGAGTGCCATTTGTACACAAGACTAATAAGTCATAATCGTTTTAACGCTTGCCTGTATATCAATTTCCTTATCTTTATTTAAACGTTTTCTGGACTTGGGTGACTAATGAGTAAAAACGACATGCCGACCAATTTTCCGGATTTGGCGCATTCACAATTTTTTTTTTTATTACTTTCACGATATAATCAGCAATGTGGTGCCCTAAATTGAAAAGCGCGTGGGCCTGAGATCATAGTAATCAAATTTTTTTGGCCTTAAACTGACAATATATGATGATATTTTAGATCTGAAGCAATTCCATTGATATTTTAATTTCATTTGACCTCTGACTGACCTCTTCATTTACAACATTGGAAAGATTCCTTAATTAGCAGAACATTTATCTTTCAGTGTTATCTGCACAAATTTTTGCACAATTACTGATAAACATAGTCCGATATTCATCTGGAAAACTTAATTTCTGGACACTTATAATTATTATAAAAAATAAAGTCATTTTATGGACAGTTTCTTATCGTACAGTTACATGAACATACTAAAATGTCCACACTAATTAGATTTTACTGTGCTCACAAACTGATTTTTAACGAGGTTCCAAATGTCCATTTTAGTGAGGTTCCACAGTTGAAGTATTACACCATCTTACCATAGAGACAGTTTTGATACAAGGCTATATTTCTTTATGTTGTCTCAGTGACAGGTGTTTGTGCCAGATCTGTTAATTGCATAAAACCTATTGAAAGAGCAGGGTAAGATATGATTTTGGCCCCAATGTTTCTCAAGATTCTTTACTTATCATATGTGAGATATTGTTTGGCCTCTGAATCTCTCAATAATATAAAATAAATGACATGAAATTTACTTATTTTCAAAGTTAGAGACGTGAAAAATCAAACTTTTTTTTCAGTGGCAAAAATGTAACGTTCAAAATCCAGCCCAAAATCCCCCCCCCCCCCCCCCCCCCCAAAAAAATAAATTGGTAAATATGATGTAACATGCACTCCTCTCCCAAATTTGAAATGTACATCATTCATAGATTCACTATTTTTGTATATTTACTAAGATATCAGATAGTATCTACCTTGATTAGCCATTTCGTGAATATTTGTTTTTTCTTTTTACTTCATTTCAAATTACAAGATTCAATAGTGTAATACCACACATAAAAATAAGCTTTAAAAGTTCTTCCTAAACTTATTTCTTTAATCGTAGAAGCCAACTTTATTTCCAACGATAATCGGATATTGTGCTATTTTATTTGGTCACGGTTCACTGTGTACTTGTGTAGTTGTGGATAATGCCCATTCAATATCTCACAATGGAATGAAAAGGAAGAGAGATTATTTCCCGTGTTAAGTGTTAAGGTAATTATAGAGTGGTCACTCTCCCCCATTTATCATTTTAATCATCACATTTAACAGTAGATCTGTCAATGTGCCAAAATCTTGAATCAATCTTGACTTTTTATTATTAAGATTGAATTGAAAACGGTTGTTCAATGTACATGAATGTATTTACATAACTAGGAATGTCCTTGATAATAAAAATGTGAGGCAAAACATAATAATTGTTGTGTTTCTGCTTTTTGGCTTTCAAAATCTAACGGTACCTAGATATGTGAATCTTCTATTTTGCAAAATATTTTAAATAGAAGCTTGATGGAGACAGAATTTCATACTTTAAAGGTGTTTCTTTGTATTCACAAAAACAATGTTTAGGGTATTCATTAAGACCTAGAAAGCAGAAACACAAATATTTGTTTGGCCTAATTTTAAAATCCTTCAGTTCTCGGGTTCAGATTCTCTTCTCCCCATTGTCATCACAGCTGTTAGGTAAGAGACTGAGATTTTTTTGCATATATGATTGTTTACAATTATGACTATAGGATGATTACCTATGATATTTCTGTTTGTTTGTTTGATGTTGTTGTAGCCCTCATGTTAATTAACACTCGAGTATTCAACATGCTAGTCTTAATTAACATTCTTTACTTGTTAAACCAAGTGTCAAGTTGGATCATGTCAAATCATTGATTATATCATTTATCCTATGTATTTAAAACAAAATTATCGTTTTGAACAAAATTTCTATAAATGTTTAAGGTTCATAATGCTTAGGATTGAGGTGTCAAAAACAATGATAGATTCTGGTGATACGGTTAAATGTGTCTTTTCTTAAAAAAATCCTCCCAATTCTTACCACAGAGCTTGTACGCTGTTGTATCCATAGTGATAATGGATAAGGGGATTACATACACAAATGTGACCCTATGCATTTTCTGTTTAAAATGAAAATGAATGCTGGGATATCTGGAAAGTTGACCTTGGACAATTCAAAATATAACGAGTGATTACCTCGTCATGTTTTAGTCATCAATGATGATTATCCTTGTTAAAATACCTCTGTAAATTCAAATTGAACTTGGAACATGCAAAAAGCTGCTGCTCTCCAGGTTACTTTTGGTCCAGAATCAGTAAATGTTGTATAGAGGTATTTTACTTTCCTGAATTAAAAAAAAAATAAAGATTGAAAAACAGATGAATTATGATTAAGAAATATAAAACACAACTTTTATTGTATAAGTCTATAGAAATGGTAAAGTGACCTAATTAATGTTACAACAGCTGAAGATTTCGTTTTCTCACGCTGTCTCCGTTATCCCCAAAATGAAGAGGAAGTTATAGCCGGTGCCTGATTGAAGTTACTTTTAAGCAGTTTTATATAGATTTTGTAAACAGATTACTTAATCATGATTATGTTATTATTAATTTTTTTTCATGTTGCTATAAATGTACTGCTCAAAAGTGCTTTTAAATTCAAGATTCTCAAGCCATTTTCTATAATTTTTTCAATTTTTTGTTCTATTTCATACAGTAATAAGCTGGTGTGGAAACATGTATATTGGAATTTATTGATGAGCTATGACTTAAACTGCAGAGGTAGTCTATGTTTCAGATATGATCACTGATGTAGGATATCTGGAAAATGCTAGTATTTAAAAAGAAGTTAATTTTATATGCAACTCACTGCTGAATTGTTTGGACAAATAACGTTTCCAATTACCTATACTCACCCCATTTTTTGTCTGTTTTAAGAATATGTAGACACTGTAGTGTCGACCAAATACTTTCCCGTTCTGAAATTTGACAGTTTCTCCAATACTCTTTGATTCATGTTAATTCAATTAATTCTTATAGTAAATTTATTGTTTGTGTCTTCCTTCCCTTATATCTGACACAACATTAAATTATAACTCATGTTGCCAGGCCTGTCTGGTTGCTATGACGACATATTTGATACCTTGACAACTGATCACGGTGTCGCCATCTATGCAGTGTGATTTACAGTTCCCCTCACTATGCCTTGTACCATTCACTGCCTTCACTGTCGTAAGCCCTAATGTAATTTAATCTTTTCAATCTGTTTTATCGTAGCTTACATCGCATCACATTGTTTCAATTGTTGCAAAACTTTATGTGTAGAAATACTGACTTTGAAAGTCTGTGAAAGTCTCTTTCCAAACTCTTGTATTGAGGAACATTTTCAAGTTGATAGAATTCATTGCAATTACTTGAATTTAATTTCATTCATGTATTGAGTTATCCTGGAAATATTCGTAAAATCTTAAAGGTGGTACTTTCAGTTATATTCAAATGTTCCACTTCCTAAGGCATGGTTTTACATTAAATTTTATATATATATATTTTTTTTTAATTGTATGAAATGCTGTATTAATCAACATGTCATTTTGATACAATTGTTCTCATTTAGGAACAATAAGCAAGTTTGTACAACTTTCCCTCATTTGAGAACAGCTTCACTTTGTCGGCTGAGTTGTCTATAATATGCCTTTTAAAGCAAATAAGCATTAATTGAGACTTATTGATAAGTGTTATATGTCTTGCATGAGTGATCCTTGTTTTTTAATATCTTCAATTACTTAATGAAATCACAATCACAACGACTAGTGTGAATCTTCAATAAGATTTTTACAAGATTACAGATAAGAAATTAGTTTTCTTGTTGCAGATGATATGGTATTTATTGAAAACAATATAGTATTTATTTAATTGTGTTTTACGTGTTTAATGGAATTTTAAGTATTTCTGATACTGTTTCACATCCCTTGTTATTTCATTCCTCTTTGTGTTGAACACCAAATGTTTCATATTCTATTTCAAATCCCAGATTACAATGCAAGATTTTTGTTTTCATGGGTAAATATGTCACTCGTTTTTCTTCATCACTACTCATATTATTCCCAGAAACATTTTTGTTGATATATAACACGGAAGGAAAAAAAAATATTATCTCGAATATCAGAACATATTAGGAAGACAAGAAAAATGAATTTCATATCCCAGGAAAAATAGAAATTTTATGCATTTTAAATACTTCTGCCATCAACTTCATCTTGAAATTATGTGATTACAGCATCCCTCTCTACAATATTTAAGTATTATATTAAAGGAATATTAAAATTTTATCTAAAAGTATTTTTTTTACCCCTCCAAAGCTTTTAAGGAACATCTGTATGTGCTTTCTGTTGTGGTTCAGAGTTTTCAAACTATTTCGATGGTAAATGT